CTCTCTCTCTCTCTCTCTCTCTCTCTCTCTCTCTCTCTCTCTCTCTCTCTCTGCCCAGCACACAGCTTCCCAGAAGCCACTTTTCCCAAATTGTTCAAATACTTGGCACCCCTCCTGTAATGAGATGCTAAACAGACCAGAGCTGGAGAGGAAGCGAGGCTTCACACACTGAATGTGTAATAAGTCCCACCTGTAATCATCTTTAAAAGCATTTGTACCGATGTAACTGCTGTCAACTCAAAGCCCTGAGAAGACTTCTTCCCTACGACGACCTGACAGGGCCTATTCTTTTTCTTAGAGGAACTTTGGAAATCCAGGCTCACCCTGACTTGTTTTTTTTTTTTCTGTTTTACATAGTCTGACTAAGCACAGGCTAGAAGTAGGCAGGGGACAGGGGAGAAGGGAAAGGACACACCTGAGACTGCAAGAGGTGGGTAAGAGGGGGTCTGCATCTTGAATTAAATACTTGTATCTGATAGATTATAGATATGTATATATACACACACACACAAACTACTCAATTCATATAATACTGAACAACATTTTTTAGGGTATACTTTATCTACCAGATATCCAAGACATAGAGGGATACCCTAGAGACAATGGATGCAGGAGAGGACCAGAAATACAGAGAAAGTTAGAGACAAAATGCCCAACCCCACCAGCCCACCTTCTTCCCTCCAGACAGACAGACAGAACCCCAAGTCTTCCTGAGGTACTGGACTCTGTCAGGGGTCATCTTACCTTACTGAGCCTCCCTCCCTGCCCGTGCGGCTCCTCACACACAGCCCCGGAGGTCCAAGCCAAGCTGAGGGCGAGGACAGCCGCGAACAGCATGGCGCTCCTCATGGTGCCTGAAGGACAAAGCTGAGAAGGAGGGAAGACAGCCTGGAGGAGACACAGGAGGCCTTCCCAGCCAGCCGCTGGTTCCCACTGTGTTTTTTTAGCCCCTGGCTCCCCTATCTAAGCCCTAATCTGAAGAACATTGGGTGCATCTCTGAGAAGGAGGTGCATCATTTTGCTTCAGCTTCTCCTCCATTAAGCATCTCCCCAGGGTCTGCCCCAACAATGAGCAGTGGCGTGGTACTGGGGTCTCCAGGTCCAAAGGATGGTAGACTTACAGGACATTCACCGGTCTGTTTCTTTAGTCAGCCCTGAAAGGGCCCCCCCCCCCCAAATACTGTTCTACAGCACCACATAAGCCAAGACATACAGAAACTTTCTGACCTGTCAATATCAGTCTTGATACTGGCCACAGATGCCGAGCGTTAACAACTGTCCATCCTCCTGGGCATTTCCTGATCTCCTTCCTGGTGCCCTGCTTGCTCATCAGAGGCTACCATCTCCTTTACCCCCTCCTGACTGGCACCCCTTGTCCTTGGTGCCGGCTTCAGGCTACCGCACCATCTTCCCTGAACCTACCTGTGGAGCTGGATGGCTGACAGGATCAGGGAGCTGACTGATGCTGCTGCGGAGACAGAGAGAGACAAGAGTGCAGGGGCTCTGGAAGGTGGCAGGAGCCAGTCCCAGCTCCCTGATAAAGGTTCTGGGAGGGTTTGGGGGAGTCGAGGGGAGGGGCTGAGAGTCACCAATCCCAGGGTGGCTGGAGGGGAGGAGGAAGGCTGGTAGGGGAGAAAATGCAGGCTGTAGTCACATACCCAGACACACTCGCACATGTACACACACACACACACACACACACACACACCAGCCCCAGCAGTGAGCTAGAGTTGCCCAGCAGCCCACTTTCCAGAGGCAGCCAAGGCAGGCGCTCTATGGAATGCCATAGTGTGTGATTTCTCAGAAAGTCACACACCAGGTCTAGCTCAGTAGGTGTGTCTCCTGGACCCCTTTCCGATAACTCATCAGCCCCTCTCCCTTTAAGCCTCCAGGTCTGACTACCAGCCTGGGACAGCTCAGACAGGTGTCTCCATCCCTGCCACCACCAAGACAACCCCACCTGAAGCCTGGGGGTGAAGCTGGCTCCCTCTTCTGTCTCCTGGTCCTCACCCCAAGGGAGATGCAGGCTTCTGCACTGAGACTCTCCTACCTCCCTCCTCCCTACCAGTGCTGGAGCCTGCCCTCCTACCCCACCTCTCCTTCCTGGATGAGCTGCTTCAGCTGCCCTGTGCTGGAATCCTGCCTGCCATGCCTCCTGCAGCAGTCTGAGAGGAGGAACAAACCCTGCCATCCTGCCCCCACCTTGCTCTGCTCTGCAACTTCGTCTCTTTAATCACCTCCTTTTCCTCTCAAACCTCAGACATCTTTTCTGATGTTTCCAGTCCTCCTTTACATCCCACACAGATGAAGGGGCTTTTCTGTAGGTTCTTTAGTCCAGGAGAGAGAGACCCAGGGAAGGAGAAAGAGCCAGTGTCAAAACTGGAACTCAGAGAGGGCCAGATGTGCACTTGGAAAGCGGCAACTGGGACCCAGCCCAGGGTTTAGATACTCACGGGGAGCTTAGATACGCAGCAGGCATTTGATTGTCCTCACCTCCACCATAGAAATAAAAATATACCCATTTTTCTGATTAGGAAACTGAGGTCAGGCAGTTCAGTGACACTCCGGTACACAGTGCTACTAACTGTTGAAGAGCCACGATCTGGGCTCTTCTTACTCTAAATCTGTCACTGTTTTTACTGCGTGGCATGTTGACCTTTGAGGGAGCCATGTGTCCGCTCTTCCAGAGGGCACAGAGGGCCATCTTTCTGAGTCTCAGAGATTTGGAAACATCAACCCTTTTACATCCAGACAAGGAGAGTGTAGTGTGTGCCCCCTATTTACTTTAGACTCCTTCTCCAATCACCCCAGATTCCCCTACTCCTTTTCTCCAGCATTTACCATATCCAAAGGCTGATATTTCACTCATTGTCTCTGTCAAACGCACCAACTGTACTAAGCATACCAAGGACAAGAATTTTGCCTGCCACTGAACCCCTCACCGCACAATGTTGGGCATATCATAGATGCTCAATAAAAATTTTATGAGAAAGGAAGCCAGAGCCAAGGTTTTTTGGATTTTGTTTGGGTTTTGTTTATTTTTTTAATTTCCAACCCAAACATCTGAATTGCTTATTGGGTCCTGAAGTCCTTTCTCCACTTCACACACCCTGGGACTTGGGTCATAGTGATAAAGTCACGCTGGCTACACAGGGCCCCATGTTCACCCCAAATGTGGGCAGCAGCTGGGTACCAAGGTCTCTTTATGATATGAGAGGCTAATGGGGCCTCATTAAAAGCCTCTCATTACCCGGTTAATTGCAGGACAGCGTGGGCAAAGAACAGGGGCCGGCACCCAGAGTTTTGGATATCTACTGAGGAGAATAGAAATGGGGGCTGTTTACATTCTAATTGTGTGAAGCGTTCCTTAGAGAACTGTTTCTAATCCAGCCCTAGATTGCTCCCTCCTTTCCCCATCTATCCTCACCAACCTGAGGACAGAAGACCAAGCTGAGGCCAGAGGAGTTGACTGTGCAAGAGCAGATATGAGTCCAGAAGCTGAGGACCAAAAGTATGGTGGCCCCAGCTCTGTAAGCCCCTCCCCCACCCCCCAACGCAGCCACCCCTGTCCCAAGCCCTGACATCAGCGAAGCCGAGCTTCAGCAAAGGTCTACCATGAATAATGTCCTTTGATGATGCTGGCAGTCACGGAGGATGGCAGGAGTCGAGGCTGGGGGGGAGCTGATCACCCCTTGATCTCTGGGATTAGTGACGACTTGAAAGAGTGGATGCCACCCAAGCTAGCAGTGGTGGAGGAGGAAGGCTGCAGAGTGCCAGAGCAGGCAGCTTGGGGGGGGGTGCCCACAAATCATATGCAAACGACATGTAAAGTGCCTGTTGCAGCTACGGAATACCCAGGAGTTTTTTTCCTCTGAACGGTTCCCTACTCAGATGCTGCCATCATAGAGAAGGTGGTGCATAAAGTCGGGGTCCGTAACAGCAGGCACCCCCATCCCTGACCACACTGTAGGTGTGTCCCGTTGTCCAGAGGAGAGACAGGTTAGATAGCCGCTTTCTAGGGCCCAAGCTCTTATGCACAAGGTGACCCGTGCCTGGCCACCATTGTACTCTGCTGTGGACTCTCTCGGTATCTGGAGAGACGCTTAGTCGAGAGTGGGGCTGAGCCGCGTGTGACAGAGAAGGACCAACCGATACCTCCATTCAAGAACTAGAAAGAGGCCCTGAGGGCAGAGAGAAGAAACTAAGCCTGGACTGTGTCGAGATAGCAAAGCCCTCAGTGGCTCCTCAGTGGGGGAGTCAGGGTGGTCCAGGATGCTTGTGGCCCTCTGAGGTTGAAGCACCTACACCTTGAGGGGGCTGGATGTGCTGAGTCAAAAGGCTGGGGTGGGGCCGGTTGCAGAATCCTGATCCCCGCAGCGGAAAAAGTCAACTCCAGCTCTTTCCAGAGGGAAAATGGACCCAGGGCTCCAGAAGAAAGGAGAGACGAGGCAGGGGAGGCAGGATAGGGGGCTGAGCCCTCCCCGTTCTTGAACTAGCATCCGTCAACGAGGAGGGAAAAAAAATGGAGGCTCAAAACCTACTTAGCCCTCCCCATCCCTGCCCCCACCCGGGGAGCTGGCAGCTCCCTCAGCTCTGGGGAAAGAAAAGCAGGATGGGGAGCAGCAGCTGCATTTTCTCCTGAAATTGCTTCTGAAAATGACCAGACACTTCACTGGGAGAGTGACGACAATTTGGGCCCTGGGAGCCGGAGCCGAGGCGGAGAGCGGGGGCGATCGGGCGTGGGTCACCGCCCGCTCCCAGCCAGACAAGATCTTCTGATTCTGAGAACTCAAGGTTGGCGTTGTCATCTGGGGAGTGGGAGGCTAGACAGAGTCTGAGCTACCCTTCCTCCAGACCCATCAGGACAGGTTCTAGCCTCGTGCTGCCCAGGGCCCTTTGCAGCCCAGAGCAGGGTACGCCAAAGCTCGGGGCTTGGGCTCAGGGATAGAGAGAGAGTAATCTGCAGGCAGGAAGGATAGTTAATCAGGTCTCCCCGCCAGCATGATTACTTGGACCCGTGAGCTGCCTATCGATGCAGGCTGCAAGGGACCCCAGCCTCAGAACTCAGCGAGCTCAGAGCTCAGTGGAGGAGGCAAGGGGAGGGGTGAAAGGGAGGGTGGAGAGGGGGAGACTTCCAGAGACAGGAACAGCAGCCCTTCCTAGCCTCTCCCTGGGTACAGATCTACATTTTACTGCTGTGTGCAGCGTGTTCCCCAGAAGACAGAACAGGGTGGTGAGACAGGACAGTCTGAGGAAAAAGAAATAAAGGACAGTGGGAAAAGATATAAAGCAATGGCTTTCTACAAAACATTACATGCTAACATTGTCAAAGCCTACTCAAGCAGAGACGGGGAGGTGGCGTGACACGGCCTAAGAGTAATAAACAGCTCAGAGGAAATAACGGAAGACAAGAGGGACAGAGTCGGTCCTAGAGATGAGCACGTCTGAATCAGAGCGTCTATCCCTGTCAAGGGCTCAACTGTGGGGCCATTTAGTCCCCAGGGGCACGGAGAGCAAGAGGGTTTCTGGGAGTGCTGTAGCCCATCCCTGGGACAGAGGCTGATGGAGATCCTGGGAGCAGTGTCCTGCATACCCCAGCTTGCTTCAGCTTGCTTCAGCTTGCACAAACCTTGCAGCCTTAGGTTTCTTTTCAGGCGTTGTCACTAAGGAGCCTAGTCTCCAAGAAAGGCATCCTCAGGTCTTCCCTCCAGGGACACACTTAATGAATTGGCTTGTTGGCCACCTGCGACCTGAGCCCTATCCTAGACTTCTGCAACCCCCACCTCAGTATCTCTAAACTCCAACCGAGCTCAGCCGGTCAAGGAGGCCAGAAACAATTCTTCTTTTCCTTATTGTCTGTGCTCTCTGGCTCCGGGGAGCATGAGAAACACGTGGCATGGGGAATCGGGGTGGAGGATCAGAGCACAACTGTAAAAATCAAGAAATGGAGGGAAAAAACAGGCATATGTACCTGAGTGAGGAAAGGAGGAAACTGGGGCCCACCAACAGTGCCCAGACCTTTTTGAACCACTCAATTTATTAACGGACAGCCGGGCTGAAGCTGGCAGTAAACTGCATTTGGGTAAAATTTCTAGAAAGGTCCAGGGAACAGGGAGGGCGTCTTCAAGGGTTCTTCATCTCGTAGCCCCGCCTCACGGTCAGAAGAGCTAGACACACAGTTCTGCTCCAGAGGAAGAAAATGCATCTCCAGGAGGCTCCAACCTTATCACCGCACAGTTACCTCCATGGAACGACTCCCCTTCTTCTTGCAAACCAGCTTTCTGTCCCCGTTCCCCTCTGGGCCCTGGATAACCTTGACAGCCACGCTGCCCTCCTTGAACCTCACTGAGAACCTGGAAGGAGAAGAGACGGAGAAACCCAAGCTAGTACCTCCATCCTCCATGCCTGACTCCTGTCTCCTCCCTGTGGAGCAAACACGCACTATGCCCCCACCCATCATCCGATGACTCAAGACCCAAGAGAACTTGGTGCAGAGAGTCCAGACATGAGGGGAAGGAAGCCCGGGTAACACTGAGACAAACCCACGAGCCCTCCCCTGACACAGTCTGTCTCGCTTTCTGAGTGCACGAATTTCCCGGTCACAATGACCAGTATTCTGGACACCTGTCCCAAGCTGTCCCTCATTGCCAGCCCATGGCCTTACTTCTCAGTCACAGTGACAGAAAGCTGCCTCTGTGTGGCATCCAGCACTGCTTGGTATATTTTTGTCAGCAGTTCAACCACATGGTCGCTGACTAGCAGGATGTCCCCCTTGGAGACTGCCGATGACATCTTAGGAGAAGGGAAAAAAATTAGCAGAGGTTAATGCCCCCCACCCCACCCGGCAGTCTGAGGGACATCAAAGACCCATAGTGAGTGAGAAAGTTAGTTCTAGCATATCCAGTTCACCTCAGCTCTAGGACGTCCACTCTGGAGACCCCACCTACGTGGCTCAAATACCTCACTCAGATGCATGCTGAAGAGCCCGTCACGGAGGCTGGTGACTGACACCCCAGCTATATCCTCTAGTCCTATGACAATCTGGGGCTGGGACTTCTTGGCATCTGTGAGAATCACCTGCCCCTTGGTCAAGAGGAGAATCCGTGCCGATGTCTAGAGAGGAGACGGGAGAGTGAGGACAGGCATTGCCACCCAGCCCACCCACTGAGCAAAGCCTCCGAAGATGGGCCTCTGTGGGCTGCAGTAGCTCTTCACCTTGCCATTGCCACGGTTGACCTTCCTCACGGTGTCTGCCATCAGGACAGGCCCTTCCTCCCTGCCCTTCAGTCTCTGCAGCTTGGGGTTCCCTTGCAGGCCGATGTAATCACCACGGAAAGGGATAGGCACGCTGAGGACACACGAGAGGTGGAGAGGTCCGCTATGTGAACAAAGCCTTCCTG